GGCATAATATATATACATATATATATATATATATATATATATATATATATATATATGTGTGTGTGTATATATATTATGCCTTGTATATATACCCTTCTAATCCGATTCTAACAACCAGCACCCAATAATTTCTGCCATGCAAAGTATAAATCAAGTTTACAAATGCATATTTTTGAGAAATTCTAAAGCTACTCAAACCAAGAATTACAGGGAATGCTCTAGAAATAATACAAAAATTTTGTTAAATTTGTTTATTAATGTGATGAAAAATTAATAAATAACCGTATGTTTATTTTAATGTTATTGAATTATATTTAATATATAATTGTGTTTTCATTTGTTTTAATTAATGTGACATTGTTAATATTTCTAAATGTTGTGTAAGTACACAAAATTTAGTTCTTTTTCCTTTTTATATTTCTATATATATTCATTTGAATAGAATATATATCTTTACAGTCTATCAAAAGTCTACTGTTGAACATAAACATGATTATAGTTATTTGACATAGTTTCAACGCTTGGAAAGCGGGTTGTCAACCACTGTTTTTTTTTATTTAGCTGTTATCAGGAAGATGCTGCTGTTTATCTTCTTTGATGTTTCCCTATGTCGCCTCATACACCACCCATGGAATGATATGAGGTAGCAGATAATCTTACACTGCATGGTAAATTAAAATAGAATATTATAAAACATTCGTTTTTATTTTATATACCAACATATTACAAAAACAAACCCTTTGTTGATGCTTTACAACGTATATTAACTAAAACATTTTACCACCTTAACCATTAGGTAACATGATTGAGCCACCTAACCATAAGTAAGTCACCTAAAAAAGGCCTTCCCTAGATATCCTCATAGGATGACTTTTACCATAGTTGCCACGCCTGCGTGAAAATATGCGTTATGCTGGTTGGCCACCGCAGTTATTTATTATTTCAAGTTTTCATCGGGAAAGTGCTGCTGCCCCATCCCCATCTTGTATTATTGCTTACGACGCGGGGTAATATCATTCCGTGTACAGACAAATTATCTTGTACGCCACAACTTGCCGCACACAAGACACTAACTTAGCAAAACATGCAAGAAATCGCGGGAGTAGCCTCTTTACCGTGTTTTGTACTACAAAACCTAAGTGGAAAGCCTTTCCTTTCGGTGGTCTGTGTTCAGCACTGAACTTGTGATGGAATGGTATGTTAAAACATTATTGTTTTTTTTTTGTAAAAACAAAACTCGACACGAGGAAATTTTTGTTTATTATTAAATATTTTTATTCTTAATTAATATTTAAGTACATACATAACATATCGTTATTTATTAGCAATATCACACTTTGTGATAGTAGCGTCTTCACTTAGTGCCGTCGAAATCCAAAGAGTTTATTGAATGTCCAGTAAAATCGTCGTTTCGCCGTTGAATACAGAATGATGATTCTGTTTTTACGCCGTTTCCGCCTGTAGTTTTTAGTCACAGAATGTATTTTCAAGAGAAATGAATTAATCATCTGAATTATAACAGAACATTTTTTTATGGTAACAATTAAGTTTTTTGTATGAATGTAAGTGCTGTGAATATAAATAAACCCATAACGGGGGAAATGGAACAATATCTGGTAACCCAGTGAAAGTACCTCCCGTCTATTTCTATCTCAAAAGCATACGCGAATGCTTTATCTAGTCAATCCTCAATCTACGATCCCAATTCATTTTCCGTAGGTACCTAAATAATCACTTATTAAGAAGTTATAAACAGGTCCGTCCGTATTGGTTGACAGTAGAGATGGGTAACTCAGGAGAGATAGATACAAAAGATATGAATCAATCCGTTTCCATCAATCACTCTTTATATCCATTCGCATCCGAATATATCACTGTATCAGTGTATCTTTACAAATTATTCACTCAAGGCATCTTTTAACTTTTTCTAACATCTGTGTCGCACATTGCGCACACTGCTTTCTATTATACCTCGCCTGGCACGGCCGGTCATTCCAGGAAGCACAGAGTACATTATATATAGGGAAGAAATGCCAGGAAGATTTCGGAAAGTCCATAGTACAGACGTTTCTTTCGCAGCTCACTATTTAGAATGTTCTGTCGCGCTTTAGCAAGACGGAGAGACTGAGTTGTTTGACCATTATAAACTGTAATGCGTTGGCACAAAAAGGTAAATTGATAACTTTATGACTGGTGCATAGGGCTTAAAGTCATTAAGCGGTACGTTAACATTTAAGGCCGGCCATATACATACGGAATTCCGTTTCGTGATTCCGTTTCGGAATCCCGAATCGGGATTCCGTGAATACATCACACACACACGTTTTTTTTCCGTTCGGAATAACAAGGGTCAGTTGAGAGACGTTAGCCATTGAGTCTAGACATTCTGCCAGCGAATAATGACGACGATTTTCTAATCGCAAATTACATTGTTGCTGTATCATTCTTACTAGGTGCATCCCCTTATCACCCTAAGCTTGCAATATAGTCAATACTATGTAAAAAGATCTATCTATCCAGAGATATTTTTTAAATATTTATGTATGTAAATTCTATCGAGGAATTATTAAATAAAATAAGATGAAAGGTTACGAAAAGCTATACACCTACAAGATTAAATTTAAAAACATACATAAATACACCTACTCGCTTCGGTCGTGCGACGAACACTGAGCGCATTCCGTACGGAATTTACGTATGTATGTTGCGACTCGTACAAAATCTATGGAAGACGTGCGTTCGGAGCGGCTTTTTTCCATTCGGGATCCCGAACGCACAGACGATCATACGGAATCTCGAATCGGAGAAATTCCGTACGGAAAAATAACGTACGTGTGTGGCGGGTCATAGATTTTATTTGGACTTGCTGCGTTCGGAATCCCGAATCGGAATCTCGAAACGGAATTTCGAACGGTCGGCCACACACAAACGGAATCCCGTTTTGCCCGCAAAATATCGAACGGAAAACTACCGTACGTGTGTGGCGGGTCATAGATTTTATATGGACTTGCTGCGTTCGGGATTCTGAATCGGAATATCGAAACGGAATTCCGTATGTATGTGGCCGCCCTAAGTATTATACTCTTCGATCAACAATACCAACTAGATAACGGGTCACGTACAAAATCATAGCTAAATGCTGTCCGCGTGAATATATACTTATATAGCTACATTTGTTTACTAAAGAACTGAGACCTTTTTTTTTGTTTTGTTGGTATTGTTGATCGAAGATTATACTGGTTTGAACTGTACCTATGTGTACTTTGCCTATAAATTTTTTAGTAAACAATGCAAACTAATTTCAGTTATAAAACCATCGTTTTTAAGAAAGTTTTATAACCGAAATTAGTAGTCGTTTATATCCATAAAAAAAGTAGAAAAAAGATTTGTGATTTACAAAATTAAACAAAGATATCAGTTTGCTTCATTAGTTCAACCTTAACCTCAGTTTGGGAACGAGAGTAATATTGCTTCCGTTAATTGCATCGAATAGAAAAATATTTGAAGTAGATTTTTAGTACACTTAATGACTGTTTAATTTAAATGTAGTTTAATAAGACATTAAGTGTAAATAGTTTAAAGTGTTTTTTGGTCTGTACGTACAGTTAGTGACTGTTTCATTTATTTTAAGTGTAAATAATTTTGCGCAGTTAGTGTTTTATCAATAAAAAAATGGGTTCACGAAAACGAAGCGCAGTGTGGAATCATTTTGAGGAAGTAGAACCAAAAAGCAAAATGCCTTTATTGTGCGAACATGCTAAATGTACCCGCTGGAAATTGTGGTAACCTAGGTAGACATTTTACAAAAAGTAAACACCCCACAGCACGCCTCGTAGCTAAAAGACAGCCAGCGCAGCAGGCATGTTTTCAAGGAGCCGAAACTATATAATATATATTTTCTACAAATTAATACAAACAATACCAACCCTACCTACGTTATTTACGTTAATCATTAATTAATTTATTATTTTAAACTAAAAATTTAAGTTAATTTTTCGAATAAGTGCCTATTAATATTTATAAATCATAACAATAATAGCGCTCGCTCTAAGTTTCACAGTACGTGATCCTTGAAAAACCGACAGACGATCGGTAAGCCGTATTTGTTGTTGGCTATATTTGCCAAATAGGCAAATACAGCTATAAGTATAGCAAATATAATCTCCACACATAAAAGTTATTTGTCAAATACGGCAAAACACAAATACAAACAGCCATGTGAAGTGCCACCATTATATTATATCTGAATACCTATATTATAATGATTCGAGTAGAATCTACTAGTTAGTCTGTGGTTCATTCATGGACTCTGGAATTATCAGGAATTATCTGTCAAAATAATATCTTCCCAAATTTTATCAAAACACAGAAAACATGAATGATAGCACGCGGTTTTCGGAAGAAGCATTTATCTCAACCTTAAAATAAGCCGTGAAGACTATACCGTGTATTGTAAGAAAAGTCTGTATTGAGAGTTACGACGAAAACAAGTTCAACGTTTACTCCACTAAAGAGGTGATTTAAGGGTTTTGTTTTTGTGAATTTAAATTTGAACTCTTATGATGTAAGATGTCGCTTATTATAATCGATAGAATAGAAAAAAATCGATTTAAAAGTTATTTATTATCATACTTGTGTGCAAAGAAGTCCTTCGGCGTATCTAAATCGCTTTTTAATGTTTTCTGCATTTAACCATACCGAAACCGAGCAGTCTAGAGCTCCAGAGCAGTCGTACGTGACAATCATCACAAAGTCATTGCGCAGTGTTTGGTTAAATTTAAATAATTTAATACGATTCATTTAGTGACCTACTTTTGACTCTTTATGTAATCAGACACCGTTTCGGAAGTTTTTTATAATATTATGATTTATAATGTTTTGATGTCATTGAGATTTGATTGCGTGTTTACTAGGCTACTTTGAAATATGAAGCGGTGTTAAGGTCGTCGATCCCGCCCTCGCCATCATTCCAGTTTACATATTTAACAACAAAGTAAAAAATGGCCAGGTATTTTGAAAATACCACAACTTTTAACTTCAGTTGGGACCAAGTTGCATGCGGATACTGGAAAAGATATCCTAATCCACAGAGGTAAGTTGTTTTCATAAATACACATAGTGCTTTATACAGCACTATGTTGTAATTGTATTTACAGTTATTGTCATTAAGCTCCTTATTATTAAAAAAAATATCTGTGCAATTTTGCCTCTTTCTAAGTCATTAGCTGAAATAATGACGTGAATCTTAGTTACTTTTAGTTACATTAACATATCTTATATTCTTTGGTAGTATTGTTCTTTTTATCATCTTGAGTCAAATCAATTTATTAATTATAATACAGCCTTGAGATGTCACTAATAATTGTACATTGTATATATTATGTTGTAACAAAGAAACTGGTTAATGTATTTATGTTAACTGATATTAGTAATATGATTATGTTTTAAAATTTCAAGTTCATATTAGAAAGGTTGCATTAATTAAGATTGGAAGTTAAAAAAATCAATATAAATTAACAACTGATTACATATTGGAAATAATTATTTTTTAATCTCAATACCACATGGTTCAGGACCGTGCTTTGTGGCATTCTTTTGGGGGAGTAGTGGACTTGTGAACTTGGCTGTAATGATGATGATGATGATGAAGAATATCAATATTCAGATTTTGTTTTTAAATTTTTAAATGATGTATTGAAATCATGTTAAATAAGAAACTACTTTAATGCCCCATTATATTATATCTATCTGTGATTCTAATTATGTTACTCAAGTAAGTCATAATATTGGTTATATGATCAGTGGTCTATTTACATAATAAATCTAAATTTAATGGTAAGAATTTAATGTTTGAAGATGAAAGATGTATCATGCATTTTAATTATCAGTCACCAATAAGATCAATCATAATTTGGTCTAGTTGTATGACCCAAAAAACTGCATTTGTATAATGAGTGTCTCTACAAAGGTCCATTTAGGTTGTACAATTAAGACATGATTGTTTTTCATGGCCAATCTGTAATATTATTAGTTACAATAATTGATAGTTTCTTAGATACTAGTCTGTTATAGGTACTTTTAATTTGGACAATCTTCAGTATATTATCAATTTTGACTGTAAATATTGTCTAGGGTATACTCTAACTACTCAGTTTTGGAACATATTTTTGCTTTTGTCACTCTTTCTTAATCCATTTTCCCATTGTTATACTATATATAAACATCTCATTCTTAATCCTGGTCACAACATCACCTTGCAAACCACACTTCTCTTATCACAGAATTTTTCACCCTATCATTCAGTCATATCTAATATGTTTCAGATTCTAATGTAATGTAATATATAAAATTAATTGTTAAAATTAAACATTAATGTTGTAAATAGGTTAGTGATTTACATATGAGTTTAACTAGCTAGAGAACAGACTACCTGATATTTACCCCTGGAATAATATTGAATGCCAGTTAGCCTGTAATTATATTGGCCCTTTTACACTTTTTAACTAGAATAGTGAATGCACTATTTCTTAGTGTCAGCACAGAATAAATAATAGTGGTGGCAGTAACAAATTTTTCAAAATTAGTTTTATTGTATTCCTGTGTAGTAAAAAAATATAAGAAAGAGCAATTAGATTACTTAACATATGATAAACATTGTAAATTGATAAACTTGTTTCTAAAAAGAATGTATAAATTAAAAAACGAGTGAGCCTTACAGTAGTCCTATATGATATATGTAACATCTGACATCTCACCTTGGTAATAAGCAACATTAACATTATACCCCAAAAAAGCTATTTATTTTTTTAATTAAAATTAAAAATGTCAGTTGAGCAATGACTGAAATTAACCTCATTTTTTTTGACCCGTCCAACTACAGGCCTATCGCGATCACCTCCTTGTTCTCCAAAATAATGGAATCCATTATAAACTGCCAGCTCTTGAGGTACCTAGAGGATCACCAGCTGATTAGTGATCAGCTGGTGATTGTAGCATCAAGGTCGTAGTAGACGGTGCATGCTCTGATTTCAAGCCTATCAAAGTTGGTGTTCCACAAGGCTGCGTGCTATCACCAACGCTGTTTCTCTTGCATATCAATGATATGTTGCAAACTGGTAACATTCATTGCTATGCAGACGACGAATATTTCTCGGGAAAACGTCGCCGAGTACGGGGACAAACTTGTGTCTGAAGTCGATTCTATGCTGAACAAAGTCTCAGATTGGGGGCGACTAAATCTAGTCCAGTTCAATCCCCAGAAGACACAAGTTTGTGCGTTTACCGCCAAAACGAACCCCTTTGTTGTATCTCCTCAGTTTCAAGGCACTCCCCTTGCTGCCTCAGCTAGCATCGGAATCTTCGGCGTCGACATATCGAATAGTGTGCAGTTTCGTGGTCACTTGAAAGGGAAGGCCAAATTGACCTCTAAAAAGCTTGGCATGCTTAGCAGAGCGAGACAGTATTTCATGCCGGCACATCGCTTGCAACTTTATAAAGTGCAAGTTTGGCCTCACATGGAATACTGTTCTCATCTCTGGGCCGGGGCACCCTAGTGCCAGCTCCTTCCACTTGACCGCATCCAGCGCAGAGCGGTACGAATCGTCGACGACCGAGTTCTTTCTGATCGGCTCGGTACACTGGCACTGCGTAGGAGGGATGTTGCATCCCTTTGCATTTTCTATCGAATTTACCACGTGGAGTGCTCTGAGGAAATGTTCGGATTAATTCAAGCCGCCAAATTTCACCAATACACATCGCGTCAAAATTCACGATACCATCCTCACCATCTGGATGCTTGGCGGTCCACGACTGTACATTTTACTAGGAGTTTTCTTCCTCGTACAACTTCTCTGTGGAATACCACCGGCGATTTTTCCGGACCGATAGGACTTAGGGACCTTCAAGAAAAGAGGTTATACCTTTCTAAAAGGCCGGCAACGCATCTGCGATTCCCATGGTGTTGCGGTTGTTCATGGGCGGCGGTAGTCACTTACCATCAGGTGAGCTGCATGCTCGTTTGCCCCCTCTTCTATAAAAAAAAAAACATTGCGCGAAACGTGAGGAAAGATGTGTTACACATCAAAAAGTAAAGTTGCAACTTATACACATCTCTATACTGGCTGTAGGTCTTGCCTCATTTTTGAGAGGTTTTGTGGAAATTAGTCCACCATGCTGCATTAGTTCGTGTTGACGAACCTCACGTGTCATAGAAATATTTTATTATTTTGTATTCATACTGCCGAGCATGTGGTTCAGCTCTTAAAATTTCAGTTAGTAATTTCATGGAATCCAAGTTACTTGCATACTGTAACATTTTCACTGATTACTTAATCCTACTCTACTGCCTTAGTAGTTGTATAATAATAGAAATAACAACTAATTAAACTTCCAGCACACATGTGTTATCAGAGGACACTTGGAGCAGGCATGTGAGGGATGGATGTCTTTACACAAAGAGGCTCCTCACTAAAACAAATAGAGTGCCGAAATGGGGTGAGAGGTAATCGTTTTGTTTGTGTTTGATATTGTAGTTCAAATCAGTGTCATAAATCATAATACAATTGAGAAAACTATTTGAAAAGAAACACACATTTTTAAGAGCGAATTTATGGCTAATATCCATAAAGTACTTATGATTGACTATCACATAACATGATGGAAAGAGTACTTAGCTACTACACCACAGATCCCAGATTACAAACTCTAGCTGAATCCATAATATGTAATAAAAGATAAAGTTTCAGCCTATGTATGGCACACTTCTGGACACAGGCCCTACTCTGACTATCTATGTCCTACTTCTGTGGAACTGCAAATGGCTTATTAGTTTTATACTGGTTTTCTGCTCCATCATCAGCCTGTGAAAGTTAATTGTTGGACATGGGCCTCAATCATTGCAGGAATTACCTTTATTGTCATGCTATATTTTTACGTGTGGTGGAGCCACACTGCAGCTATATTATGATTGTAACATTAATGGGTCGACTCAACTGGGGATGGATCACAATCTAAAAATACCATGGTGAAATAGCACTTTAATGCTGCTGTGTTTCATATGGTGAGTGTAGAGAACTGGAGATTATTTTTTCTGAAAACGAGGCATTGCTTCTTAGACATCAGCGGTGATAAATCTGCATTTTGATTATTAATTAATGATAGGTGTAGATGTCTATAGGCCACAGTATCTCACCATCAAGTGGACTGAAAAATTGTTAATAAAACCTTGTTTCTTATAAAAACATGGCTCAAAAAGTATTCACAAAAATAAAATGCTATAATAGAGATAATATAACAGCATGTGCTATCTTATCATTGGTTATACAAGTGATTAGACTCGTATTATCAATGATGGATGATGTTGTGTTTGTTTATTATTCAATATAATATTGATTTTAACTGTGAACATCTCTGAAATTTTATTCATAACCAAAAAGCTAAGTATTTCGTTATAAATAGAATTTCAGAGATCTCCTGTCGTTTTCTTTTAGATAAAAGTTTTTTACCATTTCAACTACTAAAAAGCTATTAAAGTATTTTACTGTTACTGTTACAGTCTATTAAACTCAACTGCTGAACATAGGCTTCCCCCATTCCCTCATAGAGGTGATATTTGCCATAGTTGATACGCTTGACAAGCGGGTTGGTAACCCTAGCTTTTTTCTACTGACTTCAAATAGTACGAGTAGGAGGTACTCATTTCGACTGTATGTTTTTTTTATGTGTGTTACCTCACAACTTTTTTCTAGGTGAACCGATTTGGACGATTCTTTATTTTTTTGAAAGCTGGTGCTTCTCGTGTGGTCCAAGGTCTGACCAATAGTTTTTGAGTAATTCTTAATAATTTATATTGGAGTCGGTTGGACAAAATTTCAAATTTTAAATTATATGTTTAGTTGTTATTAGGATGCCACTGCTGCCCATCTCCTGATTTATTTCTCTCTGTCATCTCTTACGACACCCACGGGATGATATGGGGTAGTCAATATTCTTACACCGCCACTACACCCTGGATATAGTAAAGTATTTTACTCAATTGTAAATCTCATTGGAAGTCTTGAGCTGAAAATAGGGCTCTTGCAATTCACTGATAAGATCAGTCATTGCATTACAACAACACTATCTTGAATCTCCATTCCTTGAATCTCTCAATATTGTTAATTATTACACTGCTAGTCTACACTGAATATCTTCTGATTTAGAATTGACTACATTTTTTATATATGTAATTGAGTTAAGACTCGGCAACCACTGGTGATGGCATGGCATGGAATTTTGCCATGTTTTGGTGTAAACACATTATGAAGCAACAAAACAAATGTCTATTGATATGCCTGCTTTTTCTCTAAAAAGCAAACTTGTGTATAGGGCGCGGCAGATGTAATTTGATGAGGCAGCCATGTTTTTATATCAGTATTATTCAAATTTGAACTTATAAATTATGTTTTTAGGGTCTGTTAAATTACAATTCATAAATTTCATAAGTTTTGTGTGTAAACTTAATATTTAAATTAACGCACTTGCAGGTTCTTCAATGCCAAATCAGTCAAGATAATAGAGGAGAGTGTTGTTGATCCCAAGGAGAAAGTTCTAGTCACATACACCAGAAATTTGGGATACACAAAAGTTATGGTAACATAAGTTTAATTTATGACTTTATGTTGTTTACCATCTAGAAACTGTCCATCATCATTAAAATTCTGTAACCCCAGTCTCCAAGGATGGGCATTCGTATCATCTTCCATCATCATCAGTATTACAGCCCTTCACAAGTCCACTGCTGAACATAGGCCTCCCCCAAGGAATGTCACAAAGTATGTTACGTCATCTTCCATACTGGGTTCCAATTACATAAAGACTCCCCCAGAGGATTGAGATGGTAGAAAGAGGGGGTTATAATGAGTCTGCATTCATATTATTAATATACCACGCAAATATACTTTTTGAGATACAAGGATTTTTTTTAAAATTGTCATTTAATAAAACTAAGGCCCGTATTAATAAACGTTACTCAGCTCAAGTACACACACTTGAGTACAATCTTGAGGTTATGATCTTATTAATAAACATATCTCAAGATGCGGTTTAGGTTTACGATATCAGCTGAGTGCCACACTGATTAATAAACGAAACTCGACTCTCAAGTGTGTGTGTACTTGACTGCAAATCACAGAACAGTATTCCTAAGTACAGCGCTTTGATATACTGTTTTTATGTGTTTATTAATTAGCAACGATCTTGAGATGCTGATATAGTAATGAGGGCGTATCAAATGTTTACGCACTTGAGTTCGTTGTTGAGTAATGTTTATATGTTAACGTTTATATGGGCCTAACTGCTAGCTATTTACCTCAAATATCATTCATCCATTCATTACAGCCTGTAAAAATCCACTGGTGAATATAGACCTCTCCCCATAGATTACCTCATATGGAGAATTTTGCCATAGTTACAAATCTTGGTGGTGGTTATTAGGAAGACGCGGTTGCCAATCTCCTGTCTCATTTCCTTCTTTCATCCCTTACAACACTAATGGAATGATATATATGATATTACAAACATTCAATAAAATATTGCCTACGATACTCCTTACACTGGAACATTCATCAAGGCAATTAAGAACAAGTCGTCATAAAGGAGTGGCGCAATAGCTAGTAGTTACATAGATATATTGAACAAATTGGTTTTGACTTTGTTTTTTTTTTATAGGATAGGGATGACAAACGAGCACACAGTCCACCTGATGGTAAGTGGTTGCTGCGGCCCATAGACATCTACATCTGCGTACATGCGTTGTCACCCGTGAGGACTAAGATGGAATGCCTCATTTCCAGTAAAAAGGGCCTCCGGCCACCTGTACTCACCAAGCGAAACGCAGAGGTAAACCTCTACTTCACGCTGGTTTTCTGTGAGGTCGTGGTACCACCCCGGTTCGAGCCGACCCATCCGTGCGACAGCAAAAGCTGCCGCGTGGCTCTACCACTGTTAATTTAAGTATTTAATTTCTAGAGTGTAGTGGAGCGAGTGGAGTACAGATCATTGGGGTCTGGCCAGACTATAGCAAAGCGGTCCGCCTGGATTGATTCACAAGTGTTCGGCTTTTCGAGACCGATACGCGCCTTTGGAGTTGATAGGTTCAAGAAGAACTGCACTCAGATGGTGAGTCTGTTTGTTCTATATGATATGTATGTATAATGACAAGCCGAATTGCAACTTGTAAATTTAAGGGATGATTAAATACTCTACCCGCGGCTCTGCTTGCGTTTTATTAAAAACAAGCCAATTTTTTAGTGCACCATTGATTAAAAAGGACTGGTTCGGGAACGACTAAAACTTTTTTATGATTGTGCCACAAACATCCAAACAAACTTTCGACCTTTTAGTAGTAGTAGGATTAAAACTTGGATCTATTTAGGTACTCCTATTTCATGATTTTTATCTAGGAGTCGTAAACGAACTTAGTTGATTACAATATTGAGGTTGTGATCTTATCTCAAGATGCGGTTTAGGTTTACGATATCAGCTGAGTGCCACACTGATTAATAAACGAAACTCGACTCTCAAATGTGTGTACTTAAGTGCAAGTCACAGAACAGTATTCTTAAGTACAGCATTTTGAGATACAGTTTTTATGTGTTTATTAATTAGCAACGATCTTGAGATGCTGATATCGTAATGAGGGCGTATCAAATGATTACGCACTTGAGTTCGTGGTTGAGTAACATTTATTAATACGGGCCTTAGAAAAAACTGAAAATTATTTTCCTGGTGCTTCAATGGCCGTTGCCGTGAAGTAGTAAACATTTTTTTTAGAATAAGGAGCACATAGTTTATCTCTACTCTCACTTATCATCAGGTGAACTGTGTGCTTGTTTGTCACCCTTATTCTATAAAAAAATAGTCCACCTGTAGTACCATGGTAAGTGGATGTTGATCACAATTCGACTGTTTTTTTTGTATGTATGTTTCGTGATATCTTCGTCAATTATGAAGGTTATACTTTGGGGATGGTCCCATATAAATTTGGAGAAAATATACCACTCCAAAGGGTTGAATGGATGAAGTTTTTAATGTAACTGTTCAGAGAGACATTATAGTTGTTACCTTAAGCTTGTAAATTTCCTTAGCGCACTCCCAAAGACCCACCAACCATCTCAGAAATGAGAGGTCTGTGCGCAGCATTGAGACATATATAGGTTATAACTTTAACTTAACTTTAACTGAAAAGTACCAAAAAATTAAACTTTTAATGGTCTTTTAATAATACGAGTATGTATAGACAGAAAGAAGAGAAAAGAATAGAATTGAATAATTTCTTTATTCAATATATATTACAAAAATACTTATTACAATTTTGGAAGTAATTTAAGCTTTACCATTAAAAAAATTGGAAAACCCCTTTTTTATTTGCATATTCTTCTCACAACCATTCTCACTTAAATTTTCAAAACTTATAATAAAGTTGTGATAAAGTTGTTATATACGCAGTTTATATATATATAGTTGTAAATATACACGATAAAATATGTAAAAACTAGTTATATTTAAATGTGTAGCGTTCGCGTAAACATAACAAATCAGTGATTAACCCACAAGCTTGTTAATTTTAATGAAATTATCGCAGGTAAATGGATTTAACTACGTATTGCACAGTATGTTCCCACGTCAGTCGCCACAGCATAACGTGACGCCGATGGGCCACACTCTGAAGGAGATGCGCGAAGCTGCGGCCGCCGCTACCGACCGCGCTAAAGCGAACGTGCTCTCTTCAGTCAACAGAACATAACGCGACTAGTCGAGCGGAGGACTTTGGCTCTTTTTTGTAAGTTGTTAAGGTCTATTTTATTTTGCGTGTCTGTTTGTGGAGGTGTAAGAATATGTGGGTGTAAGAGGCGATAGAGGGAAACAAACCAGGAGAAGGCCAGCAGCATCTAATAACAACTAACAAAATCTGCTGTTGCCAACCTGCCTGCCAAGTGTTGCAATTGTAGTAAATGTCCCCCCTATGAGGCAATTTATGGGGATGCCTGCTTCAGCTGTGAACTTAATAGACTGTAACACTAATGGCAATGGTAAATACTTAAGGTTAATCTCTCAGTAGAGCATAGCATAGCAACTAACTTTAGTTAATTAGGCCTGTGTTAATAAACGTTACTCAGCTCAAGTACACGCACTTGAGTACAATATTGAGATTATGATCTTATTAATAAACATATCTAAAGATGCGGTTTAGGTTTACGATATCACCTGAGTGCCACGCTGATTAATAAACGAAACTCGACTCTCAAGTGTGTGTACTTGAGTGCAAGTCACAGAACAGTATTCCTGAGTACAGTTATGTGTTTATTAATTAGCAACGATCTTGAGATGCTGATATAGTAATGAGGGCGTATCAAATGATTGCGCATTAGAGTTCGTCGTTGAGTAACGTTTATTAATACGGGCCGTAGTGTTAGAGAGAAGAATTTTAGTTCTTGTTTGTAGGGTATTATGATCCAATTTAGTTATTGCATTAGAATAAGACCTCGGCTAACCGAAAACTACAAACGTAGCTCTTATCTGTCTATCTGTATTAAGTATTAAAGGATGTTTTGCCTAAGTCATTATACCCACTTTAATTCTGGAATTCTATATCACTCAATTTATTAGACCTTATGCCATGTCGTGCTGTAAGAAGCGACAAAAAATGGCAGAAAACAGTTCTTATCTCCTGTCGTACTTCTATGGTGGTATGTAGTGATAAAGTAAATATACCAAGTAACAATAAAAAAATAAGTAGCAGTATACTTTACTACGTCTACATACACATGCTTTTACATATTTTTATAAATTGCAAATCAGACTGCTTGTGCTTTATGAAATTTGTCCTTTTCTATTTTATCCTCCAAGTTGTCCACAATATAACAAGAACCTTTGTTACCTAATTATCTATTTATTTTTTGTATTTGCAGGAAAAATGAAACAAACAACTTTAGCTCTTAAGAGTTAGTTTTTAAAAACGATTTTTCTCCATTACAAGAAAGAAACTGTATCAGTATAGCATTCCCTTAAACTGAAACTAAACACTTGACTGAAAGCTTGGAGCCAGAGACTTTAGCTCTTATGTGAAAATGTTTGAAAATTATAAACTCGCTCGTAAGAAAATAGGAAGTCTGATATACATTTTCATCCAGTTGCTATAGAAATATATACAACTCGCTAACATCAAGTGTGTTTCTTCAATGGATTCAGCCACTATTGATACATTTCATAATATTTATGACATAACGATGTTGTTTACTGAGCAATGGTAACGAGTCTAAGATATGGACGTATTTACGCAAAAAGGATTTAACGTTCTAAAAACTACTTTTGTGAATTGAGAGAATAAAGGTTTTGTTTGTTTTTGTCGACTTAATTTTTGGTGGTAATTAATGATATGAAACTTGAATGCAAAAATTAAATTTTTGATATGAATACAGGGTTATTTTTCAAAGAGTGGCCAAATTTTAAACTTAAGTTCAAATATATAAATATAATAATGATATAACGTTATTGCAGTTTTTGAAAATACAAGTAAATAAGAATTCTAATTTTATTTGAAATTATCCCAAATTTAATGTGATTTACTACTCCTCTGTGTACGATTCAATTCACAACGTTTTTGTCAACCGATGGACGCTTACGAATGTGCGCGCGCGTAGGAAAATAGTAGGCGTTACATATTATAAATAACAGTTAAAATAGTGCATTACTACGCATTTTGAATTTAAAAGATGTTTGAGATCCTTTTTAAATAATTTTTCTTCACCATTTGCCTATATTACTTATTTTGTACCTTCGCTGCAAATTTGGCCGGTTATTGCAAAATAACCCTTAAAAATAAATATTGTATAACAAAATTAAAATATCAAAATAGTTAGTAAAAAATCGATAAATAAAGGTCATTTCTTCAACTCTCAACACATACAAAACAACAGTGAAAATAAAACTATGTTTCATTATCATTTTTTTTTAACAAAGTTTTTGCGTAAGTATGTTCATTGTTCATATTATTATAATAATATATCGTGAGTTACAATCTGATAAAAACGGTGAGCATAATATGTAAATAATGAAGCATGTCTTATATAAACACATCTGAAACTTGCATTTACTGTATCCGTATTATCGTTGAAAATGTTCTTATGATTCTCAATTTTGTTTTACGAATTTCTGCACTGCCATCATTCATTTATCACAACACATAATACTTACATTGAGCTACTTGTACCTTAACCACATTCCGACAGTGGGCATGAATTATGAATACCTTCAAGTTAAGTAATATTATTTGGCATGGCAACTTTTATATAAAGTTTTTTTTTATTCGATTCTGGACAGATAATAGTTTTAACCCCTCCTTCCCTCTTCGGACTATTTGGAATTCGCTTATAGTTGCAAAATATTTAGAGACGTAATATATAGACTAGTCTGCTTACTGGACTATAGACTAAACGTAAATATCATATTAATTGTAAATTGTACATTTTACGAGTTGTCAAAATTAAACCCTTTGTAAAGAAATTGTATGGTTGTTCTAGTAAATTACCTTAAAAGCATCTCGTAGTCAAATAAACGTAATTTTATTTTCTTCTAAATACTAGAAATCTAATTTAAAGTAAACCGGCGAACCAAGGTGTCTTAATATTTTCTAAATGACTTTAAAAAGGAGTAGGTACTCAGTTCGACTGTATTTTTTTTATGTGTGTTACCTTATAACTTTTTGATCGGTGAACCGATTTTGACGATTTTGTTTTTAATTTGAAGGCTGGTGCTTCTCGTGTGGTCCCGTATAAGTTTGATCAAGGTCTGACTAGTAGTTTTTGAGTTATCCTTAATAATTTATATTGAAGTCGGTTGTACAAAATTTTTAATTTTACCACTTGTTAAAAAGTGAACCCTAGTGAAGTGGTCAATGAATTTTTTTATGTCCTTCTGGGGAAAGGATTGTCTTAACGCAAAGGGGGCGTGGCCATTCGAATCAAAGTAACAAAAGTTAACCATGACGTTGGGACGTCGAACACCTCAATACACCCGTGACCGTGGGTGCTTTAAAGTGCTCGAAACGCGTTTTATTTAAATGTGTAATGTTCCCGTAAACATAATAAATTATCATGCAAAGTACAGTATAGGTATTCCAGGTAGTATTGTGGTCAAGCACTGGTTTATGATAAGAAAAAATAGGTAAAAAATTAAAGTAAATAATTTGCTAACCACAGAATACTCTTTATGGTTTGGAATTGAACATGTTAACAAGTCAATAATTATAGTTTAAAGTATTGGAAATTATTGTCAATTAGGTATATTCAATTTTGAACATAGTGTAGCAATGATAGTGAAACACATATATAGGATGACGAGGGGAGGGGATTAAACAAAACCCGAAAAAAAACCCAAGTTATAAAATTGTAACTTAATATTTGCAATGACCATTTGATATTTCCTTAACTTGAGTTGCTAATATTGAATGTAAAGCATTTCAAATTAATTGACTGAATTTTGTAATGCGTTTGAGAATAATTGGGATGATGTCCTTTTGGTTTCTACGTGAGAAAGAATCATAATAATTATGTTCTGAATTTGAAAATATGTACAAAAAAGCCATACTTATTATAAAAAATGAAATCGACAATCATGGATAAAATGCATTGAAAGCATTTACTAAAAAAAAAATGTAAAGGATTACAATACTTGCATAATAAGAGTTATTTAAAAACCTAATTTAGTGTTTAAAAATGTAGACTATATTTTAGAAATTATTGTGTGGCAGTAATATAAATATCATTCTCTCTTACATAAATATATTTAAGGCTTCTCTTTAAGTCTGAAATTGCAAATATTGTATGTTAATATTATAGATGGTAACAAAATTTAAAAAGTATATAAAAAAATATACTTAATGTGTAACAAAATGGCCGTCTCAAATCCAAGGAACTCAAATCGTACCTAGTTCGACAGCAACACAGACAACGATACTCAAGCTATTCTGATTTTTTTTAAACTGGCTTTACGGCTCTGGGTTCTAGCCCTTCTGAGCCTGCTATTCTGAATGGAATGTCTTGAGCCTAGAGAAGCTAGAACCTGCTCTAACTTTTGGTCCCTAAATTTTCGATTACCGTATTCATCGATCACAAATAAAAAACTAGATACACAATCCCATGCATAAGTTCTCTAAAAACTGTCGCCAATTGTTTTGACGTAATTTTATTTGAAATAAATAGACGTTAAGGTAAATTCAACCTTAAATGCATTGTCTAAAGTTGTATTCACAAAGCTGCGTACAAATTAAAAGCTGACTGATTGTGTATCTAGTTTTTGATTAGTGATCGACGATCGTATTCTATACTTTTTAAATATAATCGGCCATTTCTAAGCAGAATATTAAAAATTACTATTTTAATCTTTAAAAAATATTTAGATATGTTTCGTAAATAAATGTAGTTCTAAACAAATACGTAAATAATTAGATTTTTGTTTTCCAATAATTTTGGAAGTTTAAATATTCTGTATAGAAACTAAATATTTTTAGATATTTCTCTTTTAATAATATCTTTAGAATATTATTCAACATCTAAATATAAAATGTACAATTACTTTGTTTTAAATATTAGATATGGTGGTTGAAATGGAGTATATGAAAATGGAATCAAAATACACCTTAAATTTTTATCACTAAGGTTGGAAATGTTTGTTGAAAGTGTTTATTAGAGTTAAAATTAGAGTTAGTTACCATTATGGGCAAATGGAATGAAAGAATTGTAAAAATAAATTATTTAATTACTTTTATTTCTTTTATTTCTCTGAGGCAAAGTAACATTCCTTTGATTGATCTGGCTGAGTTATCAAGTTTTGTATGAAGAACTGCGTCGTGGCGCTGTGGGAGAATCCATTATCCATTTCCTTCCTTTCCTTTTTTTATCCTTTCTTCCTTATTTTTTATGGAAGATGAGGCAAATGAGCATTCGGCTCACATGATGGTAAGTGATGACCGTTGCTCATGAACATCTGAAAAGGAGAAATGCAGGTGCGTTTAAAATAAGCAGTAGGCTTTTTTCTTGAATGTCCCTAAGTCGTATCGGTTCGGAAAATCTGCCTGCGACAGTCAAATCCCAGTGTGGTCTTTCGAGGCAAAAATTTCTGCATAAATCGCATGGTAGCCGACCGCCAACCATCGACATAATGAGGATGGAAAAGCTCTTGGTATATGCGATAGAAGATGCACAGAGATGCAACGTCTCTTCGCAAGTCCAGTAGATCAAGCCGACCGGAAAGAAATTGGTTGCCGATGATTTGCTATTCGTTAAATGCGGTAAAGTAGAAGGAGCTGATACTTGTTGAGAATGAGAGTTGAGAAATCACAGCGCCAATTTTTAGTGATGACAAGTCTTACAAACAGATAACGAGACTATTTTTTTTATAGAATTAGGTTAACAAACGAGCACGCAGTCCAACTCAATGTTAAGTGTCTATAGACATCGAACTCTATTCTCGAATGAGAATCAAAATGCAGATGCGTTGTTACCCCTGAGGACTATGGTGGAATGCCTAGCCCTCGAGGGTAACAACGTTCTTTACACTCACCATATGAAACACAGCAACATTAATCTGTTATTTTACGACGGTATTTGTGAGTGTGGTAGGTACTTCCCCGGTCGAGTCAACCCATTCGACCCACAACCATAATTTGTTGCATGGCTATCAATTTAGCTACTTTTAAAGCAAAAGCACTACTAAAACGATGTGTCGTAATTTCCCGAACGGTGCCCTTACCTAGTCTAGCCTTGGTGGACTTACCTAGTAAGACTATTTGTCCCAGGTAAACATACTCGGTAAACAACTTCGAGGTTAGTGCTCCCAACAACTACCGGCATAGGTGTGACGAAATTACACATGATCTTTGTTGTTTCCATATCCATGTTAAGACCTATCCGTTGGGAGACACAATTGAGGTTATTGAGCATAGTGCTTAAGTCCTTCAGCCATTCTGCCATAAGGAATATATCGTCGGCAAATCGAAGGTGAGTGATGTGCTCGCCATTGCTGTTAATACCGTATCCTTTCCAGACCAGTAGCTTGAAAACGTCTTCCGATGCAGCGGTGAAGAGTTTCGGGGATATAACGTCACCCTATCCTACACCTCTCTGCAGTTGAATAGGTTTCGTACTCTGGTTCTGTACTCGGATAGCCATCATAGCCCTACTGTATAAACACTTCAGCACTTCGATATACCGACAGTCAGCTTGGCACCGCTGAAGGGACTGTAGCAACGCCCTAATTTCGACGGAATCAAAGGCTTTCTCATAGTCCACATACGCATGGCAAAGTGGCAGATTGTACAATTTGCCGAAGGATATGTATTGTAATGACTTTCGAAAACAGCACGTAGACGCGGCTCAGAAGGGAAATCAGTTTGTACTTCTTCAAGAGAGCGTTATCGCCTTTCTTGAAGAACAAGCCCACCGTACTTCTGCTCCACGCCTCCGGAGTAGTGCCACCATGGAGAACAAAATTAAAGAGCTTCAGAAGCTCCGCTGTAATTCCATCCTCACCTGGGGCCTTGCCGTTTTTTAGGGTGCTAAAGAGCCATTCTAATGTCGCTCAGACTGCCCTCCGGGATATCATCTGAATAGGGTCGGATAAGTCTTGCTCTTTGATCGTTATTCACACTTGCGTGTGGCTCCAACGATGACGTGTACGGCTGCCCATAGAACCTCTCAATCTCACTTCAGCTTTGACAGTTGGCTCTTTCTGGCAGACAGATCTCTGGCAAAGATTTTGGAGCCTTGGTTATGCTCTATCGCTTCTTCAATACGGGCTGTTTTGAAGTTTCGTAAGTCCCGCCGCAAGCATTTGGAGATCTGTCTATTCAGTTGCCTGTATGCTGTCAAATCTATTAAAGACTGCAGCTTCATTTCCCTTCTAACAGCCATGAGATTAAGAGTGTGATCGGAGACTTTATGTGTTCTTCGGCGGCGTCCGATCTCCAACTTAACGTTTAGTTTCAGTGTGCGTCAGTCGCGATCGATGAGACATCACTGCACAGTTGCCGTCTAGTCGTTGCCTGGGCTCAACCAGGCCGCTTCTGGAAGAAAAAATTCATCACAGAATCAAACCAAAACCATCACCATTAGTAAAATAATGAGATTTTTCACTACAGCCTATCACCAGCCCACTGCTGATCATAGACCTCCCCTATAGATTCAACAAAGTATGATTCTGAGCCACGTCCACCCTATGACTGCCTGCGTTTTACATCAGGTCATCATGGTCTACTAAGGGATGTGGTCATTAAATATTTATGTAGTCTTATAACATACACCGGTACAGTTTAGTAAAAAAAAATACAAATGAAATTGAGTTAAAAAACATTTTTTGGAATATATACAATTGTTTAGGCCAAACAATTAACATTTGAAATTTACATTCAACACTCGTGTCCACCCGTTGACTTTGTAAAGGTCACCGCCCCACTCCCTTGTGCGTCGTCCGGCAGAGGGCGCGGGCGCAGAACGCGAGTGCGAAAACAGTAGTTTGAATGCAGCGGTGCCGTCGCAACGTAACGTATTTGTGGTGACCGTGGCAGCGATTTCGTGCGACCAGTTTCGGTTTATGGTCTAGATTTTCAGTAGTTATGCGCGTTACTTCGCTACTTAAATTGTGTTTCGTGAAGACCGCCTCGGATTAGGTTGTCTAAGTATTGCAGTGAGTCTTCTCGGGCCGCGTGATCACTGCCTTAGAAGGTCGCGTTCGATTCTCGAAATAATTTGTTGCTGAGTGAATGGAAGTGAACTTTGACCCACCGCTCATCAGTCGTGCTGCGTGTTATGTTTTTGATTATAATTAACGCGGATTTAGTTGAGTTTTGAAGTTAGTTAAATGTACAATAGAGTTGATAGACTGACATAGTGAATCGCTGAATTTTGAGTTTGAGCGATTAATTAACGTCGTTACAATTAATTAGCGTCAAGTGGTATAGTGTTTGCATGCATAAGTTCATTATGACAATATTAATTCGCGTTAACGAGCTGCTTTGTGCCATTGGATTTAACTCGGAGATATTTTCCTGTGTCGGTTAAAACAGCTAAACTTTGTGATCCGCGAGAACCAGCGTTCGTCTTAGATTATAGATTTGTGCTAATGGACGCTAGACTTTGAGTGACACCAAGTGACGCCGCTGGAGTTATACCACATAGGGTGGCGGTGCTGGAGTCAGGGTTGCTGCTCATTAAAAAGGGCTAATTCAGGTTACACATATATACACTCTCACACACTACTTACATTCACTACACTTAACGCCTGAACGAGCCTTGTGGTCCTTCTTCGCCTCTGAACAGGTACGTACTATTTATTTACCTAGCTTTATCACTGTCGTGTAGGTCAACTCTCCATAAGGCCATTTGGGCCCCGTCCTTAGTTATCCGTCGAGTCTACAGCTGTATGGGCCCCTGTATAGTCGACCTTTGTCGGGACAGCTAAGGGCGTGTACAACAATATTCAAAAACTATAATAAATAAGAACGTCATACGCGATAGAAGTGAGACCGTCAGTAAATTAAACTGGGAGAATGAGATGTATACATAGGGAATAGGATAATTGTGGGGTTTATTTATTATAATATTGTTACCTAGTTTAAAAATTATTTTACATTTTATTCCACATATATATTGTATATTATAGATTCCAAATTTTCAATTTCATCAACATAAGTACTTAAAATTTTACTGCTCATAGATCACATGAATAATGTTCATACATAATAGGAAACACTATATACTGTACTCTATCTCATTTTCTCGTAAGCTAAATCCTATAGATAGATAGATATGTTGATTTTTTTTAGTTTCATTGAGTATCAAATTACAACATGTTTTCAGTTCAAAAATATTCTCATGTACAATTGTACTTTGAATATATTGTATATGTCATGGTCTAGAGCACAGTGGCTAAGTGTTTGGTTGAAGCGCTGCACGGCTGGGGGTTTGAATTCCACATGGAACAAGTCTTTGTATTGCTAAACAGATTATTGTACCAGGTCTGGATGTTTATCCTTCTACAATTTGTATGTAAAACACCTCCACAATACACTAGAAAATCTTACTGTTAAACATTTGTTTTTTAAAATAAAATAGAAAAATTGTCTAAAAATTTAATTGTATCCTACTATAAATTAACAACATTGTTTATTAAATTTGTAATAAATTATTTTATCTTTATTGCTGCTCGTAATCTTGCACTTCTACTTCGAGGGTTTCTTTCCACTTCCTCATCAGATGGTACTTCCACATGTTTATTAATTGCCTTCCATGGACTATCCAGGAACTGATTAATTGTGTCTTGGTCTTGTACTACAGCTGGGTTCAGATACCTAAGTGGCACAGGATTTGCTACTTCATTAATAATATTCCCAGCAATATGCCTTTTCACAATTGTGTCTTCAAGCGAATGGAAACATATTGTAACAAGTCTACCTTGGAGCTTCAGATAATACTTTGACAACACCATGCCATAGTTTAATTCATTGAGTTCATTGTTGACAAATATTCTTAGTGCTTGAAACACTTTTGTAGCATTCGACTGTGGTCTTTGTAATTTATCAAGCCTAAATTCATTTGGACAGCAAGAGTCAACTATATCAACTAATTCTTTTGTTGTTTCAATATTCTTGATCATATACCGAGCTTGTATTATTGTTTGTGCAATTTTTGCGGCTTTCTTCTCTTCTCCATATATTTTAAATATTTTATAAAGTTCTTGCTCGTTTGCTGTAGCTAATACTTCTCTGGCAGTTATTTGATTCGGATCCCTCCCGGCGTCCATTCTCATATCTAAATAGCCATTTTTACTAACAGAGAAACCTCTTTCTCCATTGTCTAACTGCATTGATGAGCAACCAAAATCAAATAGTATACCATCTATGGAGGCTTGCTTTATATTTATCTCTTTTAAAAGAGAAGGTAGTTCGCTGAATTTTCCAAGCAAAGGTGTTACTCTATTTGGGAATTCTGTTGCCAACTCTTTAGCCTTTTCATATGCTATGGGATCCCTATCTAGAGTAATCAACCTACAGTCAGCAGAGGCTAGTATTTGCCTTGAATGACCACCTGCACCAAATGTCATATCAATATACAACTCATTATCTGCCGGCTTTAGGTATTTAGTAACTTCTTTTAGCATAACAGGTGTATGATCTTTATACTGTATAGCTTCTGTTGAGAATCTACACTTGAGAAGGGAAGAATAAAGTTTTCTAATTGGTTGCAGCAACATTTTTATTCTTTATTAAATATTTTCTTAAAAAAACCTTTATTCTCTTCTTTTAAGTATGCAAGTACTTCGTTAGACAGTATTAAATTACACTCCTCAGTACTAAGACCAGTGGCTGTGCTGGTTCTAAGCCGTTTGTACTTATTTTTATAGTAATTATCAGCTATTCGGTTGAGAGAGTTGTACTGGCGGTTGCAAAGCTCAGAGTCCAAATTTTGTTTTTCTGTAGTCTCAAATGCTGCTTTTACTTTATCACGGATAAACTTTCCCAAGTCCCTGAAAGACAATGTAAAAAAATATATGTCAAAACAACGACTATAACTTCTAAATTACACGAATTTGTAATAATATTTAAAACAATATATTGATATATTAAGTATTCTTCTAGTCTATATTGAAAAAAATAAGCCTTTATATTCTGCATATATTTCTGGGGTTAGTAACCATTTGGTGTTTATACAATGCTAACCTATCGCCTTTTGTACTATCGAGTGGCCACTTAGCTATTAGTCTCGTAAATTTTTTATATTGAGTAGTCATAGCTTAAGAACCAATTATAACATTATCCTTTAAAGTTATTTCGGTCAGGTATTTTCTTCGTAGAATAATGATTATATTAGTATTTATTTTATTTATTTGGTCTATTTGGCCCTTGGTATTGTGATTATGTCACAATAATTCTGCCAATGTCCGGTCTTTGGTCTGTCGCAGATTATATTAGTAATTAAAAAGTAAAATACGAAAATAAACTTTATGTCATTTGTAAATTTATAATGACAATGACACTTAAAGTCTTAAAATTAATTAGAAGCAAAGGGATATACGCCCATACAACCTTGTCTGAGGTTTTTAGTTCGCAAAAAGGTGACAATATGAGTTTGATGTGTCACATTCATAGACTTAGAATATACTGGCGTATAGACCAACATAGTGTGCAAGGGAGAAGAAAATTCCTTATGGCAAAAAATGCAAGATAGAAACGGATACCAAATCTCATGACTGTAACCGATTGTGAATGACAGATCGGCGCAATTCGGCCGTAAGGAAAAGGCTTCTAGATAAAGTGTGATAGTAGTTATTTTTAGTAAGTAACTTTTTTCCAAAATGCTTATTTGTTCAGTGAGTGATTGTGGTGTTAATAATAGAAATAATCCTGATAATTGCACATTTCACAGGTGAATTCTCAAGATGTCGTCAATGATATGAAGCGTTTATTTTTGGTTAAAATTAATGTTATATACTATTTAAAATATAGAACGTTTTCAATTATTTTGATATTTTACAAAGAAAAAAATCACGTTGTTGATAATTTCCATGAATTTGATAAATAAATTTTTATACTAAATATTTTACATGTACGGTAGGGATTGACTCAATTATATCAAAATTAATGTCGATATTTATCTTGAATGTTTATAATGAATCGATAGACTTGCTTACACAATAAGAAAATAAATCCTCGGCTTGCGTTCTAAAATGTAATTTTATTTTGCCGTTTGTCAAACAAATTTCCTCCGGATTCTATAATTAGAAAAAGTGGTTAAGGTTCATTGGACGGGTTGGTTGTAATGCAAAGAAGAACTCAACAATTTGCAGCAAACATTTTCTTGAGAAGTATAAAAGAAAAGTAGAATAAAAACAATTTTATTAAAAGAAGTCATTTTTACATTATTTGTACCAGTAAATAAAATATTGTTATAATAAGACTTCAAAATTTAACTTTCAAAACTTTAGATAAATATAGATAAAGGTTGAAATTTAGAATCGTTTGGAAGAAGGGGGCAGGGGGGAGGGGAGTGGTGAGCATCCCCTTAAAAGGAAATACACTGTTCTTGACAAAATCAAAAAGGAAATCCCATAGACCTAACCTCAAAATGATAACATTCATCGTCTCCGGCACGAGGGGGGAAGAGGGGAGCAGGAGTGGGCACATCAGGGAAAGCCCCTCTACCCTTTCCTCCTTGCGGAAAAGTATAGTTTATGAGTAATGCGTTTTTTTAAATAATAACCTCACTTTTTTTACATAGGAATATTGACCAAAGAAATTGTTGTCAAAGTTACAACGTCTACAACGGCTTCGGCGCAGCAGGGAGTACAGCCCCTTCACCCTTGCGTAGCGTAACCTTGCATTCCACGCCTACGGCTTTACAAAAACACTCTAGGAGTAGGGCAGACAAGGCTACGTGGAGTCGGGGCGTGCTAATTCAATTTTAGTACAGATTCGATCAGATCAGATATCTTATCTATAAAGCCAGGTTGCCTTCGCTCCAGCCACATACTTCTAACCTATTACAACTGAAAGTATATCTGGGTGCTCAAGTATTTCTGGGCAGTTTTAATCAATTCTGAAATAAAACAGTATAATATTATGATAATTTCTTATTTCACACTTGACAGAGAGTACAGACAGTAGAATAATGTGAAACTAGTCTTACGTCCATGTAGCACTTACACAAAATTCTGTGTGTTATCCAGCTTTCACAGTAATATTGAATACGTTTTTCCATGTTTTACGCGTTTTAGGTTATAATAGTTTTTATTTATTTATTCGATAACGGTGCATTATCTTTTAATGTGAGTGGTATTAGTATAATCGGGGACCAAACCTCTATCAAATAAAACACCTTACTCCTCCAAATTCCTGCCAAATGATTCTAAATCCGACCCTAGATAAATATAGAGACAGATTTTCATACATTATAAAACTGTAGTACATTAAGGACAAAAAACATCTTGAGATTATCCTCTTTAAGCCATTATGAACCCAACTAAGTATCTATTTATCATCCAAAATAAATGTATAACCTTACTTAACTAACCACACAGCCTCACGGTCATACTAGTACAATGTTCATAGGATCACGCTATTTTCCACAAGGGGTTGAGCGGAGCTTGGGAACATCGGATTATATTCCTATTGCGCGCCACTATTAATGTCTTGTACATGGCAACACTAGTTACCACTAGCGCCCTCTAGTATCGAGTAGCAGAACTAGGAGAGTCAAGATCCTTCTAGAAATTTCGGGAACGATATGTACTCGAACATTCTAGATGTTTCTATAGTACAACGTTCTGGAAACTATCAGAGGCCCTATATAAGGCCGGTATAGACCACGACCAAGTCAGTATTGAATTGGCGATACAAGCGTATACTTCTAAGCGATACAACTGCGAACTAAAGTGATCTGTAGTAAAATTGTGTTTTATTATTAGTGTGGTTTTAAGTTGTAATTAGTGTTCTGTAATTAAAGTGTCAATTTTGGTAATTCACTCGGCAGTTTTTAATTGTCTCGAGCCCCAAGTTCGTAACATTCCCAAGTCACAATGATAAAACTTTTAGCGTAGCAAGGTATAGATATTTAGTAATGATAGTATGATAGTATAAATTCCATAGTATTTGATACTCACAACGGTCGATGCCCAATTCATGCTTGATGGCCGACGACATTGTGCCGAGGGCTTAAATAGCTTGGTTTATCGCCTACAGCGTTAGTCGTAGAGAAGAAGAACTCGTGGTTAAGTAATAGCTGCGCAGATCAATAGATCTGCGAGATTAAGTTGCGACTGCCGCGGTCAGTCCATGAATGAGTGACCATTTTTTTAACATACCGAGATTGAGAGAATAGAGAATGCATCTGTATCCTCAGACACTTAGTCCACTTTACTGTGTTAAGATCATTATGTTTTTAAAATTAATGCAGCTAAAATGATAATAAGTTTATTATTACTTTATACTTTTCAGGGACAGATGAAAGAATATAAGCATGAAGCATGATGAAGCCTCATAAACATATTGGCCTTTAAGCAGAGCAATCTTATTTAACTGATTCCTACAAGTTTCCTTTCTTGAATTATTAAGTTTACATTTATACTTAAGTCGAATGTTAAAATAAAGTTTTTAATTATCACAAGTAATACTTATATGAAAAATAAAGCAGCCGTTATATACTCCGTGTCCCCGGTTTTATTTCCCCATGAAAACATTTTATAAATATATATTTATAGTATACACTTAGTTATGTATCTACCTATTTATATTAACAATATGTTAAAAAAGAAATTCGGGGAAACTGCCCACGGCAGTAAATATTTTTTTTATTTAACTTCATGCACTAAGCACTTTTTTAAATCCTTTTACGGCTACCTTACCAATCATTTTCGATAGTCCTTGTAAGTAAAATATACATCACTAGCGAACGCACACAGTAACAAATCAAACTTGGTCACGCGTTTTCGGGCTGTCAGGTGGTCTATACGCCAATATATTCTAAGTCTATGGTCACGCAGAGATTTTACGAAAGAAAGATTTTGACCACAGTTTAACCTTGCAGCAACAGGCGATGTCGATACTGTTCCACAATTTAAACTTTATATTGTAATAATGTGGCTCCAAAATGATGGTTGTCCGGCACATTACGCCGTCCAAGTAAGGAGTTACCTAAACGAAGCCAACCGTGACCGGTGGATCGGCCGAATGGGACCGATATTGTGGCCACCAAGATCACCTGATATTTACCCATTAGATTTTTTGTTGTCTCGCTCACACAGCTTAGAATTCGTCCTAACAAGGCGAACAGGTAGTAAAGTAAAATTTTCAAGCGCGACAAATGTACTTACCTAATAAAGACAGGCAATGTTTAAAAAAAACTATCTGCCAATAATTTTGTAATGAAATGCCTACTTTTGCACATTAACGGCTATAGCTCTGTAAGTAATAATATTAAGTACATGGTATGTTGATGTTTTAGAATCCTTATGATATAGGCAAACTTTTTAAATGGTTGGCCATACAGATCCTATACGTTTTTTTTTCACCACAGGTGCTCAAACTTAGCAGTTAAATAAAGTAAAAAATTTAAACTTATGTTTAGTGCCGTCTTGTAAAATACTACCCATAGTAGTTGAAAACTTTTAAGGGTAATTTAGAAACATCATTATTAGGGAACACAATAAAAGAAAAAAATCCGATCTAGGCATTAAACTGCGGACGTGATGACCACAAATGTGAGCAGAAGTACGAATTTTCGGAATTTTATAAAACATGGCGTAGACCGCGAACCGTTCGGGATCGAATTTTTTTTTAGGGAACCGAGGCCACCTCCCTACCGCTCGAACACGTACGTATCAGATTATCCACCATTACTGGGATATCCTATCCTATATATATATATGTATAAGGTACGTGAGGGTAATATGGTCACCTTAAGCTTTGCCGTCTTATAAAACCAAAACTAGGAGGAGGACAGAGACAAATACAAAATGTCCTATACTATAACTAATATAGAAAAAACTAACAAACAAGCCTTGGCAGTAATTAGCAACACTTCGAAAAATCAACTTAAAAAAAAAACTAACTATAGTACGTGAGGTGAGGGTAATATGGTCATCCGGTTAATATGGTATATATGTATGGTATGGTGGTATTTCTAACAGTGGTAGAGCCACGCGGCAGCTTATGCTGTCGCACGGATGGGCCGGCTCGAACCGGGGTGGTACCACTACCTCACAGAAAACCAGCGTGAAGTAGAGGTTTACCTCTG